CCTGGTACGCTGCCTTTTTCAGTGACAGCCTGACTAATGAGCAAGATATCACCCGCCCCAAGAAAAGCCACTGCCAAGCATCCACAACGAAACTTCTCATTCAAGCTAACATTAACCAAAACAAAATACCTCGTTTTGACAGAGGGCATAACCAGCAGCAGAACGCACAACGGCATCGCTCTACAACAGTACACAACAGGGTCAGAAGTCAATGTGAAACAGCTGGAAATGGGAAACAGTGAAGGCGGAAAAAGAGGGATGGGGATAAATACATCCTTGGAGAACCAAGGACAATTGCTGCTGTAAGAAACCGGTCACCAGTTGCGATGGGGATTCATAGAAAGAAACATGGGAACCTTGTTGTAATGCAGGGAAATACATCCACTTCGCTGTGGTTTCACCCTGAAATGACGATTTCTCAAGAGGACAAGAACCACTTTTCCATACCTCAGCTGGGCACTCAGCACCGCCGCACTCCAGTCCAACAGGCTACTGATGGCAAGCCCAGTGTTGTTCATTATGAAGGTTATGAAGCCATCCACATCCAATGCTGAGTATCCCTTTTTTTAACAACAAACCTGTAAGCTATGCAATGCCAAAATCGCCATCCATAAGTATTTCCCCTAAAATAAATCAAGCGAGACTGACTCACAGTACTGAAAACACTGACAAAATTGGCCAGATCTGGTCTACACCCTCAACTGCAGGTTGGCACCAGGCAGTTAGCACCAGAAAACGCAACAAAGGTTCAAGAGGAGTGAGCAGGTTGAGGGAGCCAAGGCAAAAAACTGCTGAAGAACACCTATGGCGGAGCCATCTTTGCCAGCAGGTGCAGAGGAGGCAAGAAATAACTACAGGGCTGGAAAGGGTGGTCAGATGAATCATGAGCCATTGCTTTTCGGGGAGGTAGGGATAAGAAACAGTTGCGCCAGGCATTTAAACTCCCTCTCCTGAGACAGATAAGAGAAAAGCAAAAAACAGGGCACGGTCGGTCTCAGCAGGAGAAGTACTGTTGTGTTAATTAGCATGATTGGCCGTCAGCCAGAAATAAATCATATTATCCACTGATAAGTGGCAGCATTCGACAGGAAATAAATTGCAGACTTCTTGGGGCTCGTGCTGGAACAGTTCATTTTGCTTTCATTATTCACAAGCGGTGCATAAAAGGTCATGGCAAAAAAAATATTTATTTAAAATTAAAGCCCTATAATCCTATCTGAAGTATATTTAGTTTTTCGATGCATAAGAACGTGTAATGCCATGCTTCTATGAACTGCTCTTCCAATATAATGCCAGGGAAACGTCAGGAGTTGCTCCGAAAATAAATACAATCCGTACTTTGCGCATTTCCAATTTGCTCCCTTTACTACAGTTTTTCTCTGTAGAAAAACCAATTTTACACAACTTGACTGGCCAGAATAGAAGCAAGCTAAGGGACAAAGATTACCCTAACCTCTACAGCTCATGCACATGAATTTTTCTCTCTCACCCCCTTCTCAGTACTTAACATCTTGCTCAGAATAAATCTGTGGTAAAAGCTCAGGAACAATTTATATAGCAAGCCCATAATGGTGACTGGAGCAGTAAGGGTAAGAAAGAGCACATGCATAAGCACTTATTTAGACTCTTGAAAACAGACCGGGTGGTCCTTAAATCTCTCCAATGCTCATGGTTTAAAAAAGGGACAGTTTTATATCAAAGCACTTTATTCCTTCACTGTAGTGCTGTCTTAATCTACAAAAGCTGCTCTATGAAATATTCAGCAGAGGCAAAACATATGCACCCCTCAAGTTCAGGCTGAAGAAGAAAATGCATCTCCCCTCCATCCTCAGGCAAGCAAGAATGGGAGGAATATTACTGAAAACAACACCTGAGAATTTGCTTTTGTTAACCATTTTAATTCTGTTTCCTTAATAAGCTTAAATGAATGCTTGCTAATGTGTTTTTGAAAGCACATCTCTTGGGTATATAAAGCCTCAGGCATCAATGTCCACACATTCAGAGACAAGAGGCTAACAGAGAGCTTTCATCACATCACATCACTCTCAGTGCTGCCATAGGTATTTGCCAGGCTGAAGATTGCTCACTGACATGGTACGAGCTAATTCTTGTCATGCTACTTCACGCTTGGCTAGAAATAATTGCTGCCTCATTACAAATTTAATAATGACACTGTGATATGGTATAACTCTTCTTTGCAATTTTCTTCTCTTCCATTTTTTCTTTTTTTTTTTCCTCTTCTTAAAGAAGACATGAAACAGATTAACCGTTACAGATTCCAGGTATTTTTAATTAATTTTTTCCCCTCGAAGAAGGAACTCCCATTTTTCAAGATTTTGCTCAGGTAGTTTTTACAGGGCTTAGGAAACACCTCCACAATGCTTTTAACTCCAGGTTCCTGCAGGATCCTGATAAGGTTTTTAGTTTGCCTTCCTCTGCATTTACTTTAACAAAGTCTCAGAAGAATCCCATGCTTGACATCTGTCTATACCCTAAATGACTCACAGCTCCCCTGAAGAATGAAGAGATTCAAGCAATGTGACACAAGAAACCCTCTTTAGGGAGCAGTCCTCCCTCCCGAATGGGTTAGGAATGAAAATCGCAGCATGGAGAGCACATTTCCCATTCTTCTCTCACCTATCCACCTGCTCGCAGGGAGGAGCACAGTCCGGAGCTGCAATGAAGATGGAGAGCAGGACACTAAATCTACCGTGCACCTCTTCCACAGCCAACCATAGGCTGCGAGAGGGTCACAAAGCAGAACAGCTATCACACTCATCCTCCTCTTGGTGTGGAGAAAGAGACCATCCTGCAGGTAAACATCCACACTGCGAAAGACAACAATCTGCTGAGAAAAGGTTATGGTGGGTGAATGCTTTCAAGAGTCAGAGCTGGCTGATGGGCGCAAGGTGGTCTGGAAAACAGGACGTTTTTAGGAAGGCTTAGTCGTCCAACACCATCAGCTGCAAATGAAATGCAGAGAACCAAACCAAACCAGAGGTCAGCCCAACTCTGAGAGAGCGAACAGCACCAGATGGTCCAAAGGTAAGCACCAGCAACCCTGCAGCAAGTGGACACGTGCCTCTCGCAAAGGCCCACGTAGATGCCTAGTAGCCCAAGATGGCATTAAACTCACAGGTACGAGATTTCACAGCCCCTGAGAAGTCTGATCAGCACTAGCTGCGGTAGCTCCTGAGCCGCATAAAATATCCGACCCCTTCCTGGAATCCCAGCAACATGGTTAGCTTCCAAGACTTCCTTACGGCAATGACTCCCATCCAGTGCTGAGTGATACAGGCAGGGTGAAGGCAGCACTGTTCCTTCATTATCAGAGTACACATTGCTTTCGGGGGGCTCTTAAGTATTCTCTGAATGAAGTGTACCTTGACAAACGCTCTGGGTTTAATTGTTGTCCTGGCCAGTCGGAGGGAGCAGAGGTTCCCCAGTCACGCAGCTGTAAGTCTTGAGAAGTTCTTTCATGCTCCCATCTCCACAGCGTTGTCTTGCCCAATTCGCACTGTGCCATAAATGCAGCTGATGTAATCAGCTCTCCTAGAGCTATAGGAATCTCTCAAAAGGTATGAATGTGACCTGTCTGACTGCATGGATGCACTCGGTTATAAGGAAGAATTGTCAAGCACTGGAAGGGGCTGCCCAGGGCAGTGGTTGAGTCCCCATCCCCATGGGTATTTAAAAACCGTGCTTAGGGACAGGGTTTAGTGATGGGATGGCAGGGTTAGAGGAACGGTTGGGCTTGATGATCTTAAAGGGCTTTTCCAACCTAAATGATTCTGTGATTCTCTGCAAGATCACCTCCAAAGGAAAGGTAGGTTAATCCTTTGCTGCACAAGACCTATTTCTAAGAACATTGTACAAAGCACAAAGGAACATTCCCAGAACTACAAGACCTGACAGCAACTTGAATCACAAGCCTTGTTTCAGTGCAACCACCTCTCCCGGAGACCTTGGTGGTGGGAGCTCCTACTGCTAAGGCCTTGGTGTTTCCAATACTTCCACGTGTCTGTCTACATGTTATTTCCCATGCTTTTCAAATCAGCATGTAAATAAAGCACAACCGGACAATAAAAAAGGGTAGGGGATTTAGAAAAATATTCTATTATATTTTTCCTTCCCCTTTTTTTCCCACCATAATAACGAAAGCTGAACTGGGAGATGGAAGACTACTGAATTCACTTTCTCTTCTGTAGGATATTTACCTGTAGCCACCTGATAATCTGGAAGGGGAGAAATAAATCCTCAACACACCAATAAATATTGATTTGAACTCAAAGACACTGCAGATTCACAAGCCTGTGTAGACTGAATGATGTTAAACCAAAACATAAGGTGCACTGTAAAGACAGCATAACAAATTACAGTTGAGAATGCAAGGAACTTGAGAAGGAAAGAAACTTATAATCAACCATCTCCACTATCATGAGACACCTGGAAGCATCTGCCATGGACTGTAATTAAGACAGGTGACAGGCTGCAGAGGCGATGCGGGGCATGTGCAAACGCAGTGTTGTTCAAGTACGCGGTACTGTGAAAGGAACAGATGATACAACTCCAGGGAGGAATCCACGCTATATTAATGACGATAGGGTTAGCTCAAGAGAAATAACTCTATTTTACTGCCAACACCAGGGACAAGCAAGAAGGGGAAAAAATCCTCTCCAGCACTGCTCTTCCACTCCTCTGCACTGCAATACTTTCAAGAGGTCTACGCGCAACAGCATGATGGATTTTCCAAAAACCTGCATTGGTCATTTGACTTGACCTCCACAGGCTACATTCGTCCCTGCAATTTTAGTTAGTTTTATCTTACCAAAAAAAAAAAAAAGGGGAAGTATAATGTGGGTCACTGGAATGAAGCTCACAGCCAGGCTTATTCCGTTCCTGCCTTCAGGGAAACAACCCCGACTCCCTGGTTCAGTGCTGCCCGGATGCAGCACAGCTCTTGGACTGCACCAACACAAATCAGATGCCTCCCATTTTACCTCAGCATCAGAGCCAGCCCACCCCACCGTCCAGCTGAAGAAGGAGACAGCTACAGTGGTATTAGGTGTCCTCATAGACAGTGGGCCGTTCTCATCTCCAGGTCGCATTCTCCAGATGGCCATTTTTCGTCTGAACCCAAGAAACTTCGCTTCTCGTGAGATGCCCAGAGTAAATCAAGTAACAGTGGAAAGCACATCCCAAATCACGGCCTTGAACTTGTGCCTAGTGCTTCCTCAGCGCCACGAGAAATGCTGTTTAAGGCTCTGGAAAAAAACTGCCATAACGTACGGTCAAGGCGAGACAGCCTGTTTTTCAGTGGCTTGGGAATATTAAGTATTTCAGTGCTCTCTTCTATACTACAGTAAATATTGCACTTTAAATCTACCTGATAGGTGTTTAAGACCTGCTATTAATCTTACTTTCAAGTTCTGGGACCTGAGGTAGAGGCTTATGGGTTTATTCTGCAAGCTGAGAAAGCCTGAAAGAAGCTATCGTAAACACAGCCCTCACCAATTACCGGGCAACAGCCTAAACAAGAAGATTTTTGTGCAGGGCAGTGTCCCTTTCATCATTCCTTTGCCAAAGAGTTCAAACGATCTCCTCTGTCTAGCCAAAAACCCCAAAGATCGCTACGTAATATCCTAGAGTTGGATTTACATAAAGTTTCTGTGCCTCCACAGGATCCAAGTTTAGAATCGGCTGCGATGACACAGCGCAGTTTGGTATTAGTGTTACAAAAGGCTATAACATATATATCTGGCAACACTGACTCACCAGGCTCATTTTACGATTGTCTCCTACACGTAGGACTATACGACCGTCCTTGCACAAGCACTGAAACGTTAACCAGAGGTAGTGCAGTGACAGGCGAGTGGGAAGCGGTTGCATTATCACCTTCCAGGACAAACATGTTAAAATAGCAGCTAGACCAAGTGGGAATTGCACCTGTGAGGCCCGAACGCAGCCATCTAGCACCCTCCCCTTGAAAATATGCACCAGGTAGCTTCAGATCGAGAAGAGACTCCTAAAAACACAGAGGTTACCGAAAGCAAACCCACGACTCTTCTCAACGCAGCATGCTGAAAATTCTTCAGCCCCCCCCCCCCCCGCCTTCAAAGGGGCATCACTCTTTTTGAAGCCTGCAAAGCGTGGTGTGTAGCTGAGGGAAGATGCCTGCATGCAACACTACTTCTTTCGGTCGATGAAAGATGCTTGATGAAAGCCTCGAGAAAGCCAGAGCTCTCCCTGCAAAAGCAGACTGCTCAAGGGAAATTCCAAATTCCCCATCCCATACCAACCCCCACTGGGCTGAGACATTCAGACAGCCAAGCCACACTGCGCTTGGAAACAGGGATCTACTGAGGGATAAAAAATTGCTTCTTAACCCATTATTAATCTGCACAGCTTTCCCATCCCCTGAAGGGGAACAGAGAGATACAGAATTTCAGAGCCTAGCTCAGAGCGTCCTTGGCTTGAAAGCAAGCCAACACCCACATTTTTTTACTGCCCTTACCTATATGATTAATCTGGGTACCACTCCCACGTCTACAGACACAGTATACCAAGATTAAAGTGCCCATGAGCTACAGACACAAGTCTTATCGCTTCCACCCCACCCCTTCCCACCCCACAACTTGCACTGTGAAAACATCGAGTTTTGTAAAATAAGAGAGTCTCCTCTCCAGGAAGAGGATTAGCTTCCTGGGTATAACTTTTGTAGCAGAGTCATTCACACATTACTACAGCTGCATTTACGCGTCCTGTCTGCAAGCATAATAAAAATACGTCACCCAGGATGCCAGGAAAGGATGGGGTTTAACTCATGTTGCCATGCTAAAGCGAACATAATCTGGCTCCAAGAACAAAAAGACAGAAAACCTGGAGCAGAAGGACAGCAGACAGGACCCAAGGCTCCCTGCTGGCTCTCCAAGCCATGGCCAGGGTAAAGAAAAGGGACTGGCGCTTCCGATAATCTCCTCCAGCTAACGTCACCTGCCAGGAATCATCAGCACATGGTTCCCACCACACAGGAGGGGATAAGAAAAGATCACACAGACTACCCAAAAATGAGAGCCTGTTAAGAATGTTAATCCAGCCTTCCACTGCGACCCCGATAAGCCCTGCGACGCGCACTCAGGGACCCAAACTGAAATTCAGATGCCTGGCAAGGTGCTGGTTTGGAAAAAGGCAAATTATCTTCAGAAAAATCAATAATGTCAGAAGCTGTTTCAAATGCTTTGAATATGGGGGAGGGAAGCATTTCCCCCATCTTCCTATAGCGTCCTTTTTTCCTGTCATTTCTACTTTCTTCTCCCTGCTATTTTTCCATTTCTTATTGCCACCACGTGTTAAATGATTAATATTCAGGCCATTTTACTTCATCAACCCTTTCCCACTTGCCCCTGCACTCGTTTTATTTTGTGGGTTGGCTCTGCTACTTTCTCTAACTTTTCAAAACTTTACCCGCTGCGGAAAGTCACATTGTGACAAAAAGGAAAAATCCAAATTTTGCCATCTTGGTGTCATCTCATTATTCAAACGTTTTCAAAAATTTCAGATTACAAAGTCTCTGAATCTTTTAAGTTTTAAACCCAGAATATAAAAACACTCTGAAAGAGATGACATTTCAGTGCTGATTTGAAATCCCTCTGAGGAAAAGCATAATGAAGTAGTCCAGCGAACCCTCTCATCTCATGAACACGTTTGGTTCCAAAACCTAACTGTTCAAAGGAAAATTATTTTGGACAGCGCTGCATGCAACTTCGTTAACACCTAAAAATAAGGCAGTGGTAAATCCCTCAGTTCCCAGATTGAAATCATTCCGCAAGTTTGGTGCAGCCAGTTATTCATTCTAATAGCGCAAGAAAAAAACGCAAGCAGCCGGAAGGTAACCACTCCTACCGCGCTATCTGCCGAAGCTGGCAGGCAGAAACTTTTTCTTAACATGCCAAAATATAAGGCAGACCCCCAAGGCTGTCATTTTTGCCAACCCAAACCCCAAGGACTGCAAGCAGTCGTCGCTTTCGATGAAGAGTCACGGCAGCCAATGTAACACTAGAAGAAAATCTAAAGCTCAAACACGCTTAGGGTAAAAACTAATATTACCTTTTCTCTCCAAAATGTCTCCCATGTAAGCCATGCCTTAATTTTTAGCTGGTCACATGTTCCATCCCAAGAGCTGAGATTTTGATTTGAGCAATGCCAATGTAATGTAAAACAACTTTAATATTTCAGATGGATGGGCCTGGCAAGTCCCTTCCTTCCAGATGTCATTTAAATTTTATAGAGAGGCATAAGAAAAGTGATTTATGCAAGATGGAAGTCCTAGGAGGAGCAGCCTGTCACACACAATACTCGTACTTCGTCCATCGCTCCAATGTAACGGCAAATTGCACAAATTCAAAGGAAGGAGGCAGCAGGGAACCATACCTCTTAGGGAAACGGGCAGAAAAGCAGAGCTT